GAACTACGGCCCTAATTATTTCTTCCCCCCAAAAAGGCGTTGGGAAAGCCACATCGAGTGGCTTTCTCTGGGTCTTGCTTTCTTCCTCTGTAAAATGAGATCATCATGGGACTTAGAGCTACAAGAGGTCTCAGAGGTCTTCTAATTCAACCCCTTCATTATACAAAGAAGGAAACTATAACCCTCAGCAAGGTTATTTGATGCCCAAAGTCATACTGCTTGCATTTTGTCTACTAAAGGACAGGCAATGGGATAATTTCTCCACATCTTTAAGTAGCAGAGCCAGAATCTGAACCTAGCCTTTCTGACCATCAATACAGTGCTTTTGTCATTATACCAAAGCTCTCAGGTCCTTTCTAACTCTGTGATTCAAATATTATAAAACTGAAATTACCCTGTCAACCTACCTGAATCCTTCTATAGGGTTGGGCTGCCATCAGTATTGTTGGATTTGGAGACCCAGCTCCTGATGACTCACTAGGCCATCAAGTCAGGGGCTGAATTGAGCAAATGTATATGTACACTGGCAAGTGAATCTCATTTTGTTACCTTAGCAAATGATAATTATTTTCAGCTTGAAAAAAATCCAGCTCTAGCTTCCTTTCTGGCACCACAGGGTATGACTGTGAGGAGTTATAGTTTTGCATGCAATTGTTAAAAGAAATTGCTGAAATTGCTTGAAACTAACACCAATCAGTCCCAGGAGAAAGTCCCTGGCTTTGCTGGTTTTCCTGCTTACTCTGTACTACTAAGCATTGGGAAGGGAATAACGTCTGATTGTGCTGAAGAAACACACTGGTGCTGGTGTAGCCACACCCATTTCCCCTGAACTACCGAAACCTGGATTAACCGGAAGATACTAAAGTACACAGATCCAGGGCATGCAAACCCACCCAAGACAGTACAGCAAGAAACATCCGTAAAAGAATGGGTGTGAGGGAGTCTTGTCGTAGAGGGCTGCAGAATCCAAAGACTGGCAGAGGCTACACCAGCTATTTCAATAAGACAAAAAGCATAAGCTTCAAAGAATAAGACACAATGAGCAATTTAAAGTCTCATTTGTTTGGCCGAAGCCCAGCTGTCCAAAGAATTCCCAGAGGCCTTAAGAAATGCAGTGTGTAGAGGGAGGGAGAAAAATGGTGATTCTTAAAAGGAGCTGCCCGGGTTCCTGAAGGGATGGCTGTCCTACAGGCCCTTAAGCTAACCACCTCCTTAGTGAGTCAACATTTTAAAGTTCTCCAATTTGAGCTGAGAAAGAGGCAGACAGTGCAATATTGGACAGTTTCCCCATGAGGTTCTCACCACAATGGTAACTTCTAATTGGATAGTACCTTAAGGCTTATAAAGTAATTTGTCTCACAATAACTTCACAAAGGAGAAACTGAGGCTCAGAAGGACTAAGTAATTTTACCCATAGTCATACAGCTAGGAAATGAGGCCTTGAACTCAAGTTTTGTAACAGCCTGATCTTCTTTCCTTTCACACACACACCCCCTCACTTTTCCCATCTGTCACGGTTGGACTATACAGAATGTCTAAGGTTCCTTTCAGCTCTAACATCCTGTGATTCTATGAGACCCAATCGGCAACCTCTTGGCCAGTAGATCTAAACAATGTTTGGCGGTTCCACTGACAAGCGGGCGGGGGGGGGGGGGGGGGGAAGGAGTGGGAGGAGAATTAGCACAGGGATGGCAGAATACCACCAAGTGCTGAACTTGAGTTCAGATCCTAGCTCCAACACTTAGCTATCTTTCTGCCCCCGGGGCAAACCATTTAACCTCTCAGCTCAGAACCCTATCTGTATCACCAGGGAATGGCACATAAACTATCTCAAGGTTGTGAGGAAAGGACTATGTAAGCTTTAAAATGTTATATAAATGAGAGTTAATATTATTATATTAATTGCTTCATGGAACATCTGGTGCTGCCTCCTGGCCAAGAGGCGTATGATCAGATGATCCTTTGAAATTCCTGATGGAGGTTTTAAAAACATAATAGGGGAGCCTGGGGAAGATGGATGAATCCAGAAAGCAAAGGAAGCAGATTTAAGGGATAATTGATTTAAAAAAAGTTAAATTAGATGTAGCCTGAAAATATTTATTTTCATACACCTAGAGAAAGCTAGCATTAAATCAAGGAGAGGAGAGAAAGCTGGCAATGGAAATGGAGGCCTCAGAGGTACTGAAGGGGTAAGACGCTAACACTTGGGGCTTGATACACTCAAAGGCAATGGAGGTATAAGTGCTGGATGATGACAAACACCTAAAGGCCTAGAGTTGTATAGGTGATGAGATCAAAAACATATGGGAAAAAAAAAGTTCCTCCATAGAGTAAGAGATGGGGAGTGAAAAACCAGAGGGGTGACAAAGCTTAATGATCCCATTGCCCCTTCAGATTTCATAGTTTCAGAATTATAATGAGCTAAAGAAATTGTCTGGTCCACCCTTTCATTGCCCTGAGCAGAAACCTAAGACCTGGAGAATGGCCTCTCATTTAGAAGGAAGAAAAAATATCCATGGAGAATGCCACTAAGAAAAAGGCCTCCCTAATTTTACTTCATACAGGTATACCCTGCCTGGAAAATACCAGAACAGAATACCCCTGAAAAAATAAAATCAAAAGAATTCACTGCAGGTATCTCTAAAATTGTAAACTCCCTATTAAAATCATTTTACTGATAAGTGCTTTTCAGGAATGTCATCCACCTCACAAAGTGAAGTGTGGTCAGTTACCCCTCAACATTGTGATTGTGATCACCCAAAGGAAAATGTAGTCTGGGGAAAACTTCTTGCCAATAATCTTATCAGCATCTTGTAGAACCCACACCCATGAGACATTCTAACTAGACTTCCAGAAAGCCACAGTCCTTACTCAAGGGGAGCTGCCCTACTATCTTCAGTGACAAGTTGGGTAGAAAGGGGAAGATCAGGTAACCTGTTGGTCCACCTCAGTTCCTGATGTCATGAGAAACAGTATTAATCGTTTTACTTATGTTCCCAAAACTGGTTATTTCTCTTATCCCAGGTGGCATCAATTTCATGTGTACTTTGGGCCTAGAAACAACGGCTCCCAAAAAGGCAATAGATTAGCTGCAGACATTTATTGAATTATCTGTTTTTTACACCAACACAAAACATATTTCACAGAAAACTACTAGCCAAATACGGGGGGGGGGGGGGGAGAAGACAAAAGTTTCCTATAAGAATTACCCTAGAATTTTTCTGACTTTGAAAGCCTCCTGATTGACCTAAAACTTAGCTCCTTTAAAGTAACTTTGGGAGAAAACTATAACTTAGCAATAAGCTATTAGCCAAAAGCTACATTTTCCTGTGGACTGTCATTCTGTTTAAAGTGATTACATAATTATATTTTGGCAATTTGTCCGAGGTGCAACAATCCCATACAGAAATTAGGTGTTCAAGTGTGCCAGGGGACTGTAGAACCTAGACAGGAATAGTACCTGACCCTGACATTTCAATCTAAGTCAGACATTAATATCCTAGGGTCTAAAGGAAGAAAAGAAGAGCACCCCCCAAGGAAGGAGCCCACAGGCAACCCCTGCTACAGTGCTGGGGAGAGGAAAGACTTAACAGCTGCCTGCCCTGAGAAGTGACTCATCTATTTGGAAAGAAAGCATTCCTACCCACACCCCTGCCTATGGAAAAGATTCCTTTTTAATGGAAATCTGAACATAGAGGAACACAGTCAGAATGAGCAGCCTAGCTGTACTGCTGCTGGAGACAATTTCTTTATTAAATAAATTGCCCAAGTCCATCCACCTCAAAGACTGCTCAAGAATAAAACACAAGCATCCGCACATTGTGCTGTGTTGTTCAAACCACAAGTGGGGGGAGGCAGGGTGGAAGGCTGGGGGGGTGAGGGGGAATTGTTTGCCAAGTCCAAGACTGATGCTCTAATCATGTTATTTTTGGACTTGGGCCAAACAGTGACTCAGATTACAGCACAACACACTTTCAGAGTGGAACATCAGATTTAAAACCTGGGGCTCACACACTTAAAAGACTAGTACAATTCTGACTTTGTCCCTACTGCTTCCAGATACCCCAGGTAGAAGACAGAGAAGCTGTCTGACCCTCTGGCAGAAGCCAAGCAGCTCTAATACCATCTTGGCAGGAGTTCTGCTCACAGGGTGAATGAAGCAGTACCAGACCTCATGTTCTATAACACTGGAGCCTTTCATTCAAGATCAAGGGGTTTGGAACCCCAGTCTCCCTTTCCAAGGCAGTGTCGAGCTTATTTGGCAAAGAGCCAGCCTCTTCCTGCAGTGCCCAGGACTCCTAAGATCCGGGCCAGTGGAGAGGGAAAAGACCTCTACCACCTTCCAAGGCCAGACTCAGGCAGGCTGCAAGAAAACCTATCCTGCACAGCATGTGAGTAAACAGTCCTAAAACTAGTACCCACACCCTATTAGACCTGTCTTTTTTAAGGAGAAAAATATATACCTTAGGAGCTCAATGGTCCTGTGTAAAATCAAATATTTAATGACGCCATCCCATCACCACAGCAGTGAAGGGGAGGACAAGGCCATAACTTGGCCCTGAGAACATCACTCTGAGTACAAATATGTTTTCCATGTAATCTCAATTGTTTCCCGCTGCCAAAGGCTGATGTTTTGTTTGGAACAGCTGAATGTTTGGTTTGACTTTGGTGTAAACACGAGAATGGCCTTCAGTGCCTACTTGTGAATACCTGAGGCCCCTGGTGCTTTTCCTCAGACTCCAGCCACCAGTGTCCTCAATGCTAGGCCCAGCATCTCTAACCAACCTCTATTTTAGCAATACAGAGCTTTACAGCTTCTCCTGAAGTTGGGCTTCCTAGCCAAGGAAATCAGAACCCAGAACCCCAGTTCCCTACCGGGGAACTTTTTCTTGAAAATACATGTTTAGTACTTTAGAGCAGTTGTTCTCAAAGTGTGGTTCAGTGACCCCAGTGGTCCTTGAGATTCTTTCAGGGGATCTGTGAGGTCACATGTCACGAGGTATTTTCAGAATAGCAAGGCATTTTAATTTCTAACACAGTAAATATCATAGTTATGACCCACATAAACAAAAGCTCTTTACGGGGGTCTTCAACCATTTTTAAGAGAGTACTGGGGCCCTGAAACCAAAAAGTTTTAGAACCATTGCTTTAAAGCCACCTTCAGAAGAGCTAACAGCACAACAGTTGTGCAAGTAATGACTTCAGGTATCACTTCCCTCATCTGTAAAATAATGGTGTTTCCCTTTCAGCTCTAAAAGACCTTGTTAATTGAGCACCTGAATGCTGAACCACCTTTCTGACTGGTAAGCCTCTAAGGATCCTTCACCCTCTCTCTGGAAGTCCCCTGCTCCTGGGCTGGCTCTGTTTAAGGGCAGGAAGAGCTACACAAGGTGGACAAGCTACTAATTTTGCCAAGAGGCAAAGTATGGAGAAGGAAAGCAAAAGGACAAGAGGAAGTCTGGGAGAGACAGGCTAAGCCTCCAGCAGCCAGGGTTAGACACTGAGGATCATTCAGACTATCCCCCTGGCTAATCCCCAGTATCAATTCTGAGGCACTTTTTACCTTAATATCCTGCTAGTGCCCAGACATAGCCTGTGGAGTTCTGTGATTTCTCAAAAGGATGGCAGGATGACCACAACATGGAGGAGGCAATAAAAAGACCTCTTCCAACGCCCACGTGGAACTGAAGAGGTTCCCTACCACATCCCTGCATCCCCCCCGTCATGGCTAGCTACAGCCATCACTGAGAGCTGGGGCTGTCCCCTTCTGTCAGCGTCTTGAAGTCCATGGAGAGCGCTTGCTCCTCAGCCCGGGGTGGCCGGACCCAGGCCTCTCTGGTCAGGATATAGAGCACGACCACAGCAAAGCAGATCAGCAGCAGGCCCAGGATGTTGGCCAAGATGCCCTCAGGGTGGAACATACTGTACTTCTTCCTGCAGGACAGAGAGAGAAAGAAGAAGGGATTGGTGATGTCACACACACACTTAACCAACATCACATTAACACTACAGGAATACCAAAACCACTTCTCCCAAGCCAGCCCTAACACCAGTGCATCCAAGCTCCAGCATCACCCAACTCTGATGAGAAGGCTAAATCAACAGCAAAGGATGTCGCTTCCTAGGGAAGATGAGGGTGTGAGAAATCTGCTCAGGACAGTGGGGACCCTGCCCTTCTGTATCACCAGTCAAAGGTCACTCACGTGAGCCCAAATATCAGCGCCTCCTTGATACCCAGCAGGGTTGTGCCCACGGAAAGGAGGAAGATGGTGGCGCCAAAGAAGATATGCTGTGGGCGATACTGGTTTCGAAGGGAGAATGATGCTCCAGGGAACAGGAAGAAGCTGAAGCCCACTAGCCACTGGAAGAAATGTAGAGGTAGTGCCAGGTTAAACCAAGAAAAGAATTCCCTGCTGGCCTGCTGGGTCATCTGTGCTGCCTAGTTTGACACTGTTAAGACAATGCTAAGCCCATCTTGGAAGACTGCAGACAACATGAATGGAAAGGAGTCGATGCCCCCAAATGCTCAAGGTTCACCTCAGTCACAATTACAGTCCAAATTCCATAAAGCCCAAGCCTGGGACCAGCCATGAGCCAGGATGGCTAACTGGAAGGGGCCCAATAGCTGCAAGGCACCATCCCCCATCTCCTTCCCCATGTCCCCAAATCAGTCCAATTTTGGGCTAATTCCAATCTCCTGGGGAACAATGCCTTTGGGGCCAACTGCAGTGGTCTGCAGCACCTTTGGCTGTGCTAAACTAGAGCTCAGCCTATTCTGTAACTTGTCAGACTGGTGTTTTTACTATCTTTCATGCCCTCTCCAGTAAGCTACTCTCAAATCCCTCCAGGGCTATTTGTGAGGCAGAGAGGCAGGAACAACAGAGAGGGACTCACCTGCACTAAATAGAGGATAAAGACGAGGAGCCCACACCAACTGTGCAGACTATACAAATCAGCATAGTTCATCTTCTTGTGATATTCAAACACAGCCACCAGTCCTGGAAGGAAGTTGGAGGACATGAGAATACAAGGTTAGGCATTTTAGGGGAACCTGGGGGAAAGGGGAAGGAGATAATCCCAGAGGTCAAATGTGGCCGTTTAGAGCTCACAGGATTTATTACCAGTCCTGCCCCCACCTTTCCCAAATGTGTTAAGAGGAATAAGCAGTATCCTTGAAGTGCTGGCACTACAGTAAAAAATCTGCTTCCAGAGTGGGTAGTCTGCCTAACTGCAGCTTAGGAAAGTGTCTACCGCCTCAGATCTAGAAACTAGAGGCGAGGAGAGGGTATGGACAGCCAGTCAACATCCCCCAGAGGGAAAGGAACCATCAGGGGACTCACCAACCAAAGCGATGATAAGAGCAAAGATGTGCAGCAGCCCATGCAGAATCTTTGTGGTACGTTTGGCCTCATTCCTGAAGACCCGGTAAACTAGTAGAGCTTGTTTGGGATGAGAAAAGAGGCAAAGTATACCAATGAGTTTCCTGCTGCCCACCTTTCCACCACATGCCAGCACTTCTTTCCTCTCCCCTTACTCACCTACCTAATGAAACATTTGTGGGGCCTCCTGCCTAACCAATAAGCCCAGAACCTCCCCCAAAACAGAAGAAGAGTGTCCAGTGGCTTTGAGCACTTGTCATTTTCTCCCAGTATAGTAGATAAAACCAACAGGTTATGACCAGACCCAAACCAGAAATCATTCAAAAATCTCTTTTGCTTTCAAATACAGGAATCTTCCAGCTGTTTACTTCTCCCACCCTTTCCTGTGCCCCTAACCAAAAAAGGGGGGGAAGGGGCTGCTCCTCCCTTTCTCTTTCTCTTCAGATGTAGCAATGAGTCCTAACATCTACTTATCCTTTACAGACAACAGCCCCCCAAAAAGGGATTAAAATAGCCTCTATTCCTCACATATACATACACACACACACACACACACACACACACACACACACACACCCCTTTAATCCCCAATTTAGCTGAACACTGATCATACCTGTTGATCTCCTTTGCCCACCAAGGTGGCTATGAATGAGACAGTCCTTAATTTTATTAAGTTAGCACAGAAAATGATTCCATACTTGGCCCCAGTCAGATAGTGTCTTTAACTATTCTCACATATGCACCCCTAGATCCCATATTTTTCTAAATAAATCCTTTTGTTTCTAAGGGAATACCCACCTGTGGACATGGGGAACTGTATTCAGGATCCACGAGGGAGGAGGGAAGAAGGGTTAGGAAAAAACATCAATCTATAAGCATTTATTAAGTGCCCACCACTCTGTCATGCACTACTAAGCTTACAAAGTCAAAAATAAGACAGACCCCACTCTCAAGGACCTTACCATTCATCAGGGCATCAGAGCACCACACGTGTAAAGAAGGATATATTTCTAAAATACAAGGTAACTGGCAGGGGGATGGGAAGGGGGCAGTCTAGCAGCTGGAGGAAGGAGAGCTCCATGTAGAAGAAAGTGGCTGAACTGAGTTTTAAGGGAAACAAGGGATTCTAAGAGGCAGAGATAAGGAGGCTCACGCTTGGAGCAGGGCTGGTAGAAAGGCACAAAGATGAAAGATGGAGTGCTACAGGTGAGGAACAAAGAGAAGGCCAATTTAGTTGAACCATCGTGCGCAGGAGGTACGTAATTAGGCAGGACAGGCAGTTTGGGGCCAGGTTGTGAAGGGCTTTAAATGCCAAACAGAGGAGTCTCTATTTGATGCTACAGGCCACAGGGAGCCCCACTGGAATTTATTGAGTAGAAGAGTAATATAATCAAACTCATGCTTTAGGAAATTCACTCTGACAGCTATATGGAGAATGGATTGGAAAGGGGAGAGAGAAGAAGGGAAATCAATTAGGCATTTATTGCAATAGTCCAAGTGAGACTAGGAAGGGAGGAAAACTGCAGTCAGAGTAAGCTAAAGGCCTGAAAAAGCACCGAGGGGTGATGGGAATGGAGGCTTCAGTGAGAGCAAAGAATAGGTTTAGGAGGGATGAGACACAGGGAGACACAGAACGAGAGGAAGTCATGGCCAGATAGAGAAATGTTAGGGTTTTTTACTAAGGAAGTAGAACACATGTATAATGGTGAGATCCAGGGTGTGTCCATCCCTGAGTATAGCTCTGGTGGCTTGAAGAAGAAGGACACAGTATTTAAAGAGAGAAAATCAATTAGGAAGAAGACTTTTGAGAGTCCCTTGGACAGTAAGGAATTCAAATCAGTCAATACTTAAAAAAATTAATTCAGGCTATTCACTGGAAGTCAAATACTACAGCTGAAGCTTACGTTCTTTGGCCACATAATGAGAAGACGGCACTCAATGAAAGAGACCCTAAAGTTGGAAAAGACTGAAGGCAAAGGGAACATGAGACAGCAAAGAATGAGGAGATACAGAGCAACAAGGAAAGAACAAACATGACCTTGAACAGACTTTGAGAGACAGTGAAGGACCGAAGGGCTGGCACACTATGGCCCACTGGGTCACAAAGAGTTGGACTGAACCACAACAAAAAAGGATTACCTTGCTGAGGTGAAGGCCCATTTGAGATTAAAGTAAATTCTCCCTTCCCAACCTCAGCCCTGAAGTAACCAATCCCGCCCTGTCCTCTACTCGTGCATCCTTTGTCTTATTGTTGCTCGCCACTTGCCAAAGCCCAGTGTTTTCTATGACTCAGAATCTACCTCCTCACTAGCAGACCCAGCTGGCTCCACTGGGCGATTCCCTACAGCTCAATTCAGTAGGAGCAGAGGAAGTGGATGACAGAAATGACACAGGGCTGGGATCCATCAGGGAATGAGGATCAATATGGTGGGACAAAGGACTGGAAAGTAGGAGACAGTCTAGACAGGGAAGGGAGGGGAGTGAAGCTAGAGCAAGGCCTGAGAGAGTACTGGGGGATGGAAGAACTAGAAGTCCTGATAAGAACAAGATTGAGGAGGGATAAAGCAGAATAACAGAAGGTTATGATCTGATAAAAGGATTTTGGAGATACCTGAAGTATTCCAAGTTACCTGATCCCTTTAGAATTCAGCTTATTATGACTCCTGTAAAATAGTGCCTGTGGCCAGGGCCAACTCTGAATTAATTTCCCAGGCTCCAGGGAAGAAAACTAGCTATTATCAGCTCTCATTTATCAAACCAAACAGACTACAGCCTCACATGCACGTGGGACAGAATAAGCACTGCAGCTTTTAACCCCACTGGGAAACAATGTTCTTTTGTTCCACCATCTTTTAGCTTTAAATGTCATTTCAAGAACTTACTCTATTTATGAGGCCAGTTCCTCCAGAATGGTCCAATCTCCTTTTCTTTACCCCCAAATAAGTAAACTATTGAGGGAGACAGCCTCAATTTACAGCCATCGTCCTACAAACCTTCCTACCAAACACAGACTTTCACTGCTTATCTATGAAGGAGATTAAGGTACTATGGCAAGCTTAGAAAGTAATTATACCAACCCCAGGATAATATGCACACCTCCCCTTCCCACCTATAGTCTATACTTAGGAACAAAGCTTCCCCTTCTGATTCTGGTTTCTAATATTCCTAAGTCCCAAGCATCTGGGCTGTCCTAACTCTGACTTGAGCCTCCTACTAGAGCTCCTATAGCATGTCTCTCTTGAGGCAATGAGGTCTCCCAGAGCTAACCCTCTTGCCATTCTCCAAAACAGAAGGTATCTTCCCAAGAAATTCTCAGATATACCCAGAAACTATAGGCAGAAAGGGGATGGGTCCTCCCCAGGCTCACCCCCATGGAAATCAGTGGGTTATGTTATGCCACCTCCCAAGTCTCTTTACCCTGCCAGGACTCACCATCTCCCTGCAAGAAGACCATGCCTATGACCATGCAGAGGGGATGCACGTTGAACTGAAGGGCACTCTCCCAGGCAAGGCCACCACGGTAGAGGCCAAGCCATGCTCCGGTTAAAGCCACCACAGTCAGGCCCAGAATCTGGGACACAGCCACAAAGTAGGGCAGCGCTTTGGGAGTGGACCCTCCAGTGGCCTCCATCCCGGGGTTTACACTGCAACCAAAAGGAAAAGAACTCAAAAAGGCAGCCCACAACCTTGAGACAGATCCAGTTCCCCAGCCTCCCACTACCACCTCGTCCCAGAGCCTCTATTCTCAAAGAAAGGTCCACTATCATTCTCTGCTACTTAAAGGAGTTCCTCAGCTCAAGAGCCAAAAGGGACCATAAAGTTAATCTACTACAACTCCCCTCAGGAAACTGAGGCCCAGGGAGATTAGATGATTAGCCCAAGGGCATACAACAAATTATTGGCAGAACAAGGTTCAAAACAAGGTCCTGAATCTTTCCATTATTATCACACTGCCACTTCTGCCTCTGAGCTATTTCATACCTGGATGAAGGTGACTACCAGGAACCCATCAAGAACTCTTATTCCTACAAGTATCATTCCCACTGAAAGGCCAATGTAACAGAAAGTATAACGTTTGGAGTGCAGAGACTAGAGTTCAAATTCGACCTCCATCACCTGCCAGTGGCAACATACTTGCAATAAACAAGTAACACTCTGAGACTTACTTTTCTCAACTGGAAATGGAAATATGGAAAGAAAAATGAAAATAATCCTTCCACAAGGCTGAGGTGAGGGAAGATACTTTGCAAACCTTAAAGTGCTATGTAAATGTAAATTGTTATTATTACTCAGGTATAGATTGGACTAGATAACTTCTGTGGGTTTCTTCCAACTCTTAAGATTTTATGACTGTACTGCCCTCATTTTACAGATTAGGAAACTGAGGTTCAGACTCCAAGCTCACGAAGATAAGGGGAGAGGTGAGACATAATAATAGCTAGTACTTATATATATAGTACTATATATATAGGTTTTAAGGTTTGCAGAGTGCTTTACATATATTATCTCATTTGATCTTAACAATCCTGTAAGATAGCGGTTATTATTATCCCCATTTTACAGATAAGAAAACTGAGGAAAACAGTGGTTAAATGATTGACAGGGTCACACAGCTTACAAAGTACCTCAGGCAGGATCTGACCTCAGATCTTCCTGACTCAAGTCCAGCACTATTCACTGCACCACCGAGCTAGCCAAGTCTTCTCATTACGGACAAAGGACATCAGAGGGCCGTAAATGTCCAAAGAGTTTAGTCATTACAGGTGATGGAGTGCGGTACTGAACGCTTTGAGTTTTGTTTGTATGTCAGTATAAACAGTTTATACTTCAGTTCTTGGAAGAGAGAAACCATATCCTAATTCACTGTTCCTATTTCTAATTCACCGTGCCAACCCATCTGGTTCTCAAGTAAGGACACTGGTTTTTTGAAGCCCTACTGAGAAGGTATGGGGTAGAAGTGGAAATGGGGGTATATTTTTACTCTCCGGGGAACCTGGGGACAAGGAAACCTGAAGTAGGCAAGAAACACGAGAAACCCAGTGCTAACTCAGTCTGCCAACTTAATTTATGTTAGGCATCTCTTTAAAATTACAAACACCGCCTGGGTGAATTAAGCGGAATTCATACCTTTATCAAAGTAAAGTCATTCAAACTACCAGCTTTAGCTGAGGATGGTACTTAAGAACTAGGGTGACAGAGAGGAATGAAATGGACCTTTCTGCATGTATGTGGAACTGAACCCAGCCAGAAGGTAGCTTGAAGGCAGTGGGTGTCTGAAGTGATAGAGGAGAAGCACACAAAGGAAGGTGCATTAAGGCCACAAAAAGAAACTTAGCACTTTTGCCTAGGGTCCTGGCAATGCCAACATACCCTAAAAATTACTGCTGTAAGCCAGTGCCTGAGCTAAATTCAAAGCATGAGTTTGAAATGTTGCTAAACTTCAGCTTCCTCCAATTCAGCCTAATCCAGGAAAACACCAAAAACCCCCCAGGCTGGCCTGGATTTCATATGAGAAGAACCTGACTGGAGTTCACTCTTCCAATTCTGGCTGAGTGATCTTGGGCAAGTCACTGAGCTCAGGCTCCAATATAGCTTGTACTCCCTACCTCACAGAACTGTTGTGATAGTCAAATGAGATGAGGTTAAGAAAATGATTTTGTCATTGCAAAGCCCTTTATAAATGTAATATTTTAATATTTAAATATTATTTTAATTATCAGCTTCACCTTAGCCCTAACGACGCACTTAAGAGTCTATCCTCCAGCTAGCCTTTTCTTTCTGTCAAGTAACAGGGTTAAAAGTGAAGCCTCGGAATGGAACTCTCTAAGTATGGAGCACCTGCAGTTTTCGCTTGTTTTGAATTAGACAGCCTGAGCTTTGTCACAAGTCAAAGCAGACTTTTTACACCTTCTTGCAATGACAGAAGATCCGAGCTGCATTTTTCTGCTTCATGCAGCATCTCAAACTAATCCTAACCATGAGGATTCTGGAATAAGAATTGAGCCAGCATGTTTGTTGATGGCACCTGGCACAGAAAACAGCCTGCTTAGGCTAGCAGCAGTGTCTTCTCTAGTCATGACAATAATGAAACTGCATTTATATCAGAAGAGCCAAAAGTAAATAGGAATTAGGGCATGTGGAGAAAGTGTCCTCAGAATGGTGATTTCTTGTCATCAAATCTTTGGTGCTCTCACTGCTTTAATTCGTAGAGGTTTTCCAATGAAAGACTTGACCAAGACAAAGCTTTAAGGTTAATGTTATTTTTGAATCATAGTCACAGCTAATTTTTGAAAAGTGGGCTTTTTTTTCATATAAACATTTCTCAAATCCTTGAGTCCATAACTTCAAACCTGCATCTTTATTTTTATCCTGTGGACTCCTAGATGTAATGTGCTGTTTTCTGGTCCATATTCACTCAGAAACAAGCTGAAGCTATCTGTCTCTCTCTGTCTCTGTCTCTGTCTCTCCTCTCCTCTCCCCCCCACCCCTAGGGCATTAGTACTTGTTACATTCACAGATTTTTAGAGTTGTAAGGCACCTCAGCAGCCATCTACCCCAACCCACACCCAAAAAAGTAGCCCCACTACACCTAACATTATCCAGCCCAAGCTTAATGTCTTCCAATGAGGAGGAACCCACTACCTCTTGAGGCAAACCACTTCACTCAAGGATAGTTCTCATTTGTTTCACGTTTTATCCATTCCACCTCTCATGTTTGAGATATCTTCTTCTGTGATTATTTTAAATGTATGAGGTTGGAGCCGAGTTATAGAGGACTTTAAAAGTCAAACAGTGACATTTACATTTTATCCTAAAAGCAACAGGAAGCCAGTGGGGTTTATTTTGAGTAAGGTAGTGAGACAGTCATATGTGCATTAGGAAAATCAATTTAGCAACAGTAGGGAGTATGGATTGGAGTGGGAAGAAACTTAAAGCAAGAATAATTAAGAGGCAATCCTTGCAATAGTCTAGTAGCACACATTCTTGCCGACAGGGTTTATTAAGTCAACTAGCACTTATTAAGTGTGTGCCAAGCACTGGGAATACAAAAAAAAAAAGTTAAAAGACATTTCTTACCCTCAAGAAGTTCCCACTCTAATGTAGTAGATAATAGGCAAATAACTATATACAAGCCAAACATCTTCAGGATAAACTGGAGATAATCAATAAAAGGAAGGCACTAGCATTAAGGAAGATAAAGAAAAGCTACCTGCAGAAGATGAGATTTTAGCTGGAATTTAGGGAAGCCAGGGCATCTAGGTAGCACAGTGGGTAGACCACTGGGCCTGGAGTTAGGAAGACACTTCCTAGCTGTTTGTGTGACCCTGGGCAAGTCACTTAACCTTATTTGCCTCAGTTTCCTCATCTATAAAATGAGCTGGAGAAGAAAATGGCAAACCCTCCAGTATCTTTGCTAAGAAAACCCCAAATGGGGTCACAAAGAATCATCTATGACTGAACAACAGGGATACCAGAAGGTAGAGGAGGGAGAGAATTCCAGATATGAGGAATAGGCAAAGAAAATGAACAGGAGAGTCTTGTGTGAAGAACTAATGTGATTTTCTAGTTTGCTTTTTTATTTAAAATTTAGTTCATTGATCCTTTTTTTTTCTATTCTATTAATGTAAATGTAGCCCTCTCCCCACAGTGGGCTTGGCAGTCCCTTAGACAGCTGCATAATGCTGTGTATGGATAGAGAAACATGACTCCTGATTAGCTAAGAAACTGCTGGGAAGGAAAAGTGGGGGGTGGGGGGAGGGAAGAAAACATGAACTTCAAGGGTCAAACAAGATACCTTCCATCGTCTTCCATTAGCTGGCCTGTGGAGTATTGTTTTTTCACCAATTAGCAGTTGTCATCTCTCTACCCATACACAGCATTAAAGGGCTATGTACTTCAAGGGACTTCTCTTTCACATAGTTGACTTTTTTCTCTGATATGTTTTTTGAGCCACTCGTCATTCAGGACATCATTATTAAATCTCTATTTAAGTTTGTATCTTTTGCTTGTATTCCCTGTATCCAATACTGTTTTACTGCATTATGTTTGACTGAGGACGTATTTAATATTTCTGCTTTTTTCCACACTTATTTATAATTTCTCTATGACCAGGACATGGCCTATGTCTGTGAAAGTATAGACAATACTGATAAACATGCATATTTTTAAAAGTTCCCATTCAAAAGGTGCCATACGTTGTATTTTTCTGTTATCTCCTTTACATTGATTTTTATCCCTTTCCTCTTCCAAGTCACTACTTTGTTCCTGTAATTCATTTTGCTTATAGTATTTTGGTGGTAGTTATTTTCTACATATTCTCCATCTCTCCACTCCATGCACTTCTCCTATCCCAAGTCCTTTAAGTTTTGTTTTCTTTTTATTAGGTATTCCACATTCTTTTCACTCTTTCTTTTCCCTGCCCATCTAAATATGTAGTTCAAAAATTATCCTTTCCTCCTCACCAACCTCTTGGCCTAAGTAACATTCTTCTGTAGTACCCTCTTCCAAGATGTATTCATGTATTTTGTCCTCATTCCTATCCCCTAATCTATTCTTTTTTTCCCCCCCAATTACATGTAAAGGAAATGTTTTCAACGTTCACTTTTATAAGATTTTGAGATCCAAATTATTTTCTCCCTCCCTT